AGTCGATTCCTCAGGACGTGGCGGGGCAGAGCTTGATGGTAGGGCGTCGCTGCGCACCACCGGCGTCTTTCCCATGCCCAGGCTTAAGCTAGACAGGTTCCTAGCCGGGGACTCTGCGCCAACGGTCGGGCGTGGGAAACTGGTGGGGCGCGGAGCGTTGCCCTGAACTTGCGCGGTGTTGGGGTGGTTCTGCTCGTGTCGTGCTGGCGAGCGCGACGAGAGCAGCGGCCCGGGCGCCGCCTGTGCCTGAGCTGCTTGTGCATGACGTCGTCGTCGGTCGGTGGGGCTCTAGGCGTGAGGAGTACCATATCGTACTCACATCCTAGAGATATGAACTCTAGGCTCCCAAACCAGATCACCGTGCTGAGACGTAGAGGTCGCACGGGGTCTGCCATCCAGAACTTGTTGGGATGATTAAGCTAACACGCAGTATGATCCCCTACCTGGCGCGCCAACTATCAGTGTTTTGGATCGGCGGGTCCTCAACCAACGAGTGAAAATGTACTGCGTGTCCCTATCCCGGATGGTGATGCAAAGAGACACAAGGTTTATACTGGTTCAGGCGATAGGTGCCCTACGTCCAGTCTGAGAGAGCGATCTTGTATTCCTTGCACCGAAGTGCTTGTAGTAGGGGTTTACAAGCAGGGCAAGAGAGGGGGTTAGTCCCAGGTCTCTGCGTGGAGCGGCGTGGGTTACTTGAGATGTTGATCTCTCGCAGTGAGGAGCGTGTGTATTACAGAGTGTTGTTCGTTGCTTGCGCGTGTGTCTATCTGAGCGATGTCTTCGTGAGTGTGTGTGTGTGTGTGTGTGTGCTCGTTGGGTGTCTCTCCTCTTGTCCTAGAAACGGCCCCGGTCGCCCCCTTTTATAGTTGAAGGAGAGGACAGGGGCAGTACATGCGGTTGCTATGTGGTGCGTTGTGTGAGCGGAGGCGGCGTCTTGAGCCCTCAGAGCTTCGCTCATCTGGGCGTATATGGTTGATGGAGTGGTCTTGTCCTTGGTACTTTCTGGAGACGCGCCCGGTCACGCCCCAGCCTGTGTATGACGTGGGAACTCCTGTGGTGGCGGTGCATTGGAAGCGTGCGGTTCTTTGTCGTTGGACCGGACGGTGGCGGTGTCGAGGCCGGGTTGATGCGATGACGTGGGTGTGCTGACTCCGAGGATACAGGAGCTCAGCCCTGTATGCGACATGGGAGCTCCTGCAGCCTGACGCAGGGTATGACGCGTTCACGCAACGTGCGCTGCTGCCCAGTGTTGACAATGTAGAGAGCCGAGGCCCAGTTGATGCAGAGGCCGAGCCATCATGGGGGGCTCGGCAGGCGTGAGTCCCGAGACTACGGGAGCGAGGAAGCGATTTGCCGAGGCTCAAAGGGAGCATTTGTTTTTTATGCTGATTCCGAGGCTACAGGGGGCCGGACATGACTCTCCACGCCACACTGTTGTCAGAGCAGGTGGGGTTAGGTAGCACAGTGCCGCATGGGTGTCGGGTGTGGCACAACGCAGGTGCAGCAGTGTACTGTAACCCCTGCTGCCCCGTCTGTCCCGACTGCATGGCGCCGATGTGACTCCCGTCCCGTCGGCCACTCCGTTGTACCGCGCCGGAGTGTGGCCGACGTTGCGGGAGTGGTTGGATGCATTGGTTGAGTGTGACGCTCTGTCAGGGTGGTCGGTCAAAGCTGCGGCGGGACTGATGCCGAGCCGGCCTCGAGCGAGATGGAGAATCGGTACCTCGCCCGAGGCCTTTCGGGTGGAGCCTCGGGCGAGGGGTCTCGGGCGAGGCGGAGAGTTGGTAGCTCGTCCGAGGCCTTGCGGCGTGGGCCTCGGGCGAACCGGAGAATCTACCGAGGCCTTACGGCGTGAGCCTCGGGCGAATCGGAGAATCGGCCGAGGCCCGCGTGGTTGTCTCTTGGCTTTGGTATTTACAAGGTCTAAGCAATTTTTTTGGTTCTTGCTTAGGGTACCCCTTTCTATGGTATCCGACACACATGTTGCGGTAGTGTGTTTCAGATGTTTCCGAGGTATGTTGCAAGTGTTATATATTGATGTTGCAAAAGTAGATTGGGATGTTGCACATGTTGTAATGGCTATATACGTATGTTTCAAGTATATGTTTTATCTGTTACAGACTCACATTGCAAGTGTTTTGTCTGGATATTGCAAAAGTAGATCTAGAAGTTGCATATACATGCATATTGCAAGTATATGTTTCAAGTATTTTCAGGTGTTTCATACATATGTTTGCAAGTGTTTCATCTGGATGTTGCATATGTTTACGATGATTTCAAATGTTTTTAGGCGTTTTTGCAAGTGTTTCAGACGTTTGTTTTAAGTATTTTATTTGTCTTCTTTTGCATGTTGTAACTATTGCATCTGGATGTTTCAAAAGTAGATCGTGTGCTATACATGGGATGTGCATGGGAAGCGGCCGGCGACGTGGACCACATCCGGGGCAGCATGGGCGATGTCTGGAGCGGCGCAGGACCACTACTGTCTACTGGTGCTCTCCCTTGCGAGCCCGACACGTTGAGCACTCGTTCGCTCCCTGTGTCAGCAGCATCTGGATGCTAACGCTCGGATCGGACGTTCGGATACTTAGTTAACTTTTAAGGAAGAGGCTACGGTCTTTCTATAGGACGTGATCTCTTGCAGATACAATCAAAATTAGTTAATTGCCTCTGCAGATCAGAATCCTTCAGTTTAAATTTCCTTTCCCCTCTACCTTAGTTCAGATTTATTTTTTGGTGACACGCATTTATATTTCGTGAAGTTTATTTAGGTACAAGATTTGTGATAGTGTTAGGAAATATTGTTTCGTCGTGCAAAGTTCAACAGAATATTGCATTGAGAATACCAGTTCACGTATAATCATTCGAGATACCACCATGGACCAGAGCTTGATACTGATAGTGTGGAATAATGGAAAGGGCAACAAGGTAAAGCACGTTGCTTTCTCCAAGTCGCGCCGTAGACGCTGAAGAGGATCTTCTGGAGTAGAATGTTTGATTTTTACACCGAGTAAAGTCCAGGCCGCAGGCGTCTTGCATCCGGCCGGCGGGAGCAGATTTTTTTTCTTCTTTTCACCGAGGACGTGATGAAGGACTGAGAATGTTGACTTCATGTTTTTTTTTTTTTTGCGTTTGAGTTCGTGTCGTTACTATCCGTGTTTGATTTGCAGCCTAATTAAGGTTGCCATGACTAAACTTAGGTAACTATAGTTTTAGACGGTGTTTTAGGCCATGTTCGCTTGTCTTATGAGCCGTACTATTTCAGCGAACGAACAGTGTTTTCCTCTCACAACAAATCAGTGAACAGTACTTTCAGTCATGGCTTTTCAGCAAAGCGAACAGGACCTTAGTTGCTACCACGATTTACTCTATGTCTATCTAACTTCTTAGTCGATTGCCCTAGTTTTCTTGCACAATTTTGTCTACGGTGGTCAATTTTCAGCCACAATTTACTGGACAGTGTTTTAGTTGCTACCATGATTTAGTCTAACTTCTTTGTCAATTACCACGCTTGTCATAGTATGAGTTTTCTTGCTCAATTTTTTCTAAGATTAGGCCATCGATTTTCTTGCCATAAAAGTGTGACAAGACTGATCTTAGCAGCCTAAGGCAACAAAGTGTGGCAAAGTTTGTTATTTTTACTGTTCTAAATTGTAAGTCGTTCCGTTTTTTTAGTACATCGTTTTTGCTACACACATAGCAAAAGAGCTATATATATATATATATATATAAAATCCAAAACAACTTATAATTTAGAACATCATTTATCAACCAAACAATTATTCTGCGGTATGCCGGTAGCCCGGTACGTGCCTGCCAACTCAACAGAGCAAGGCTCGGCCACTAGGGAACATGAATCAGAGAGAGCAGGTCGTTCATCATTCCACGAAGCATGCGTTGGGGTGATGACTAGTGAGGAGCTAAAGCATCTTTGCCATACATTGTTATGGACAGACTCCTGTCTATCGGACCATTGTAAACCCAGACAAATTCTATAAGCATAACCATGGTTGAGCTTATGTACAGAATTTTTAGACATGACTCCAGAAAAACAAAAGGAGCCAACTCATACTAGTACTGAGTAGCGATCATATGACCATTACATCAGGAATGGCAATCAGCAGCAGCAAAACAGTCGCACTATCATCAGCTATCACCGACAAATCTGATAAACATAACTATGTTCATGGACAAAATAAAACTTGTATTAGTGTAGCGACACTAGACAAGGTGTCTCAGCTCCTATTGCAAGGCGGCGAGGGGCCAACGCCGGCTCAAAATGGCCAGCAAAGTATAAGTGATATAATCGAATGAAGTGAAATGCTATTAGCGAAAGAATAAAAGCTACACAACAAGAACATGCATGCATGATGTATCTGCTAGCCTGCCGGCTCTTGGCACTACACTGGTACCAAATCGGCTAGGCAGAGCCATGTGACCACCACAACCCCACATCATTATGATCTAACATGACCAGCTTCCAGTTCACAGGCAAACCTTACCGGCTCAACCAACTCTGGCTGACCACAGCAGTTGAACATAAGACAAACAAACAATGAGCATGCACACCAAACACAATCAAATCTCAAGAAATGAGGTACCGAGACCATCCCACACATCAACACTACACAAGTAAACTAAAAACACTTTTAATTAAGTTCATGGTACATTCAGTACTTAAGGATTACATGCTGATTTTTTTTAGTTTTTCAAAGTTCTGAATAGAATTACATAAGGATGCGACGACAGGCTCGCTGATACCATACATAATTTACATCCAGGTTCCTTAGTAGTAAAAAAAGGTAGTGGTCTAAGATGAGACGAGAGCTAAACACAACACATCTAGTAGTAGTGGTAAGGACATATAAGATGAGATACCCAACCTACCGTTGTAGTCAGTCACTACAAAATAGGGCCATTGTGCGATTCTGAGTCGTTGGCATCATCAGTTGTTGTCATGTCATTCATCAGCGACTTTTTTTGTTTCCTGACTGAACCTACCGGTAGTAAGCCTGGTGGAAGGCAGGAGCCATTCCATTGGTGTAAGCTGCCATCCCATTGCCATAACCGCCATAGGGGGCAGGGTAGCTCATGGGTGGGGTGGAGTATGGCATGGGAATGCCGACATTGACACTGGCTACCTCCTCAGCTGGGTAAACATACGGCTCCCTGATCACCGGCGGGCTCCGGTTGCAGTAGAGGCCATGTCCAACCGGCCTGTCGTAAGGGTAAGGAGAGGGTGTGGCGTATGATGTGTGGGAAGGGGAGGGTGTGGCGTATGATGGGTGGGAAGGGGAGGCTGTGGCGTATGATGGGTGGGAAGGGGAGGCTGTGGCGTATGATGCATGGGAAGGGGAGGTCGTGGCGTATGCGGCGTGGGAAGGGGAGGCCATGGCATATGAGGTATGGGAAGGGGAGGTCGTGGCATATGACGTGTGGGAGGGAGACTGGGTAAATGTGGTGGGAGCTGGGAAAGAAGACACACAAGCATTGTTAGTGAGACGACCTGCCTTGGCAGGAGGCATTGGGCCTCCATTGCTTGCACGGATGCGCTTGGTTGCAGGGCCGCTGCTGCCGCCACTGGTAGCGCTTGATGCTGCCTTTTTCTTCTCGGTTTTGGCTCTCTCTAGTTCTTCAAGTTGCTTCCGAAGATCCTCCAGTGGAAACTCAGCTTCTAGTTTACGGTCCTCAACACACTTAATGACAGCTCGCAGTGCAGACTGCTCTTTCTTGTTCGCGTTGCTCTGCAGGATAAATAACATCAGATCCCATAAGAGTACCATCAAACAAAGAGGCATAAAAACAGAGCCAGCCCAACGAGGTGATAGATAACTGAAATTATATGTAGCTAAAAGAGGATAATAGCACTAGGCACATAAATAAAACTCAAAAGTCAATCCTGAGTTCAAGAGATACTTTTTTTTGTTGAACAGTGAGCAGGAGCACCATTTCAATTAAGAAATTCAAGAGATACGTTAGAACTGCTGTTATATTTATACTTATACTAACCCCTGACTGGCCGCTGCTAGTGCTTGAATTATCTGAAGCAGCGGTTGATGTCTTCTTAAAGTCTTCCAGGTAGGACTTCAAAAGAGGAACTGGAGGGAACTTCTCCTGAAGCCCAGCCTCATAAGCGAAATTCACAGCATCAAGCTGCTGCCTCTTAGCAATTAGTTCCTCAATGATATCTGCAAAAGAAAAGGTATTAACATGTAGTGACTAATCTGCTCAAGTCTGAACGAGACCATGAAAGACTATCGGTCACTCAGAAAACACACAAATATATGACCAAGAAATAGAAACAGTCCATACAAAGGCATCATCCATGCAGCAGTGAGGGTACTCTGGAAGGCAAAACCAAACTGACATGAATTTGGCAGCAAAAAGGCACGAAATTGTTGTTGTTGTAGCAGCATAGTTTATTTATACTAATAAGATAATGTAGTACTGTGCATTGGAATTTGGAATGGAAAAGAAGGCTGTTTGGCACTTCCTAGCATTGCAGTGAGGGTGTGCAGCATTGCAACGAGTCCAGAAACTTGCTATTAACGACACTGCAACACTGAATTGCCTTTCACTCTAAGGCAAAGGTACTGTAGGCACAAGAATCTGACGACATCTAAAGGCTAAAGCAAGGGGCCCCAAGACAAGCGCATGATGGCCATCATGTACAGAAGACACAGTTATCCTGAGCACTTGATAAAACACTAGATCACCTTTTTCCAGCACGTGGCTATGACAGAGACCACCCAGGGCAGGAAGTAAGACGGGCCATGCTCTAAAAAGACATACTCCAATCTAATCATACTACTACTATCATACCCTTGCACAGTACAGTAATTAGCAGTGGTGCACCACTAGTCAGGGAAAACAAAGAAGGAACTTTTCAACTCATTTTGCCTGGGTGGTTTTCTTTTTACCCCAATTCAATGCTAGATCTATGCAGATTTATACCCACTGCACACTTGGTCAACCCAAAATCAACCATCTGAACCCTCAAGGTTCACCACTTCAGCACTTGGCGCACAAACACCTACCTCAAAGAACTATTATGGTAGTAGTACCCAAAAAAAAAATCTGTGCAACAAAATGGAAATGCAGGCAGCAGCAAGCAGGAAACAAGCGTATGTATATACCAGCCATTTCTTCCTCGAGGCCGAGTGTGAGCGCGAGGCGTGGCATCTGCCTGCGCCAGGAGAAGCTGACGACAATCCTGCGGTAGAGCGGCCTGTCCTCCCTCTCCGCGACGGCAAACGTGGCGACGTGCTGCAGGAACGCGTGCGCGTCGGGCGGCTTGGCCCCCTCCACGCCCCCCTTCTTCTGGATAGCCTCCTTCCACTCCCTGGCCATGCCCCTTGCGCGCTCGCGCGCCGCCCGGGGAACGAGCGGGCGCGCGGCGCCGATGTCCGGGTCCGGGTCGGCGAGCGCCGGCACGGCGGCCTCGAGGATGAGCACGCACGCCCAGGCCAGGTCGGCCGGGTTCCGGGGCACCTCGCGGCGGTCCACGGGGAAGACGTCGGCCACGGCGTCCATGACGAACTTGGCCGGATCCACGCAGAGCTTGAGCGCGGGAGGCATCTCGGCCCGCAGCGCGTCCGCCTCCTTGCGGCGCGCCACCACGAAGCCCAGGAACGCCGCCGAGTCCATCCGCAAGCACAGCGCGCGCAGGCTCTCCGCGAGGCCTTCCTCCTCGGCGGAGTCGGAGGGGGTGGGGGTCGGCGCCGCCGTCTCCTTGGAGGCGGAGGCGGAGATGGAGTGGAGGTGGTCGAGCGCGCGCGAGACGGAGGCGTCGATGGAGGCCTCGCGGCGGTGGAGCGAGTCGAGCGCGCGGTGGGTGCGGGCGTCGAAGGCCCTGCGGCGGGCGCGGAGATGCTCGGAGCGGGCCGCGAGCCCGCGCTCGAGCGAGCCGAAGTGGTCGGCCAGCTGCTGGTAGAGGCGCGTGCAGGTGGCGAGCAGCTGCTGCTGCCGCTCCAGCTCCGCGAAGCCCGCGCTGACCATGTCCCCCGTGACGGGCCCGTCCTCCCCGTCCTTCCCCTTCGCGGCCGCCGCCGCTGGCGAGGCCATGCGGGGCCCGCCCGCGGAAACCCTAGCCGCCGCCGACCCGCTCCCCTCCCTCGATCCGCGAAACCCTAGCCGAAATTCCCTACGCCCCCGAGGCGAGAGGAGGCGGAATGGAGTGGGAATGAGAGGAGGAGGGGAAAGCGAGGGGACGAGGGGAAAGCGAGGGGTGAATAAAGGGATGGGTCGGTGGGTGGGTGGGTGCAGGCCAACCGCGCCGCGACGCGTGGCGGCTGCGGCAACTGTAATAAAGCTGGCCGCGGGAAGGAGTGGTTGGGTCGGGGGCAGGCACCCCCGTGGTTACGCGGGGAGGGAGCGGTGCGTGTCCCTGCGAGTGGGGCAGGGGCGTCGGTGGGCCTCTGGTGTCAGGGAGCGGTGGGAGGAGACGGCGGGGAAAGCTGGCTACGCCCGACGGAGTGGGGTGGCCAATGGCGGGAGCAGAGCGCGCGTGCAGGGTGCACCCGGGAAACGTACACACACCACCGGCGAGCGGATCGGATGGCTGCCGACCGACGCTGCCTCCCGCCATCTTTGATCACGGGACAGGGGCAGCCAGCAGTGGACGCTACTGGTACTACCCCCTTGCAATGAGTAGCGCCACTGGCCAGCACTTGCAGTGACCAGTGAGCAGTGTCCGGGCCGATGGCTTTGCATATGGCATGCTGGTGGCCTGCGCACCGTCCTGGCATAGGTAAACTGCGTACCACCACCCGTCTCTATTGAAGGCCTCCAAGGAGAAACAAGGCCTGCTGGTTCGCTTCCGAAACGGGTCACGCTAAAGATTTGGCACTTCGGCTGTATCTGATAAAACTTGTCAAATTCTCACGTTTAGCCTTACCAAATCTACGGTAATTGTTTGTCAAACTTTTGGCTTGCCGAATCTCTGGCAAGACAAATCTTGAACGTCAACCAAGCAGGCCGATTTCCTTGCCGATGCAGGCGTTACACTTTCTTGGCAGATCTAAACCCTCGTAAGCTTGTTCAAGGAAGGAGCAAGTGTTTGGTGAGTAAACTAGGTCTCATAGGTTCGATAAACTGTGAGTAAATTGAATCGGATGAGCGTGCATGTGACAAAAGAAATACATACCTCCTATATCATATATGGTCAAATTTTAGTCTTAATCATTGGTTTCATATTTTTTTTAAGTTCGTACATCAGCACCGCCTCGATATTAGTATAGCTTCTCCTCTCCCATCAAGACATTCATTTCCCGACGGCAAGCAGTGCGACGGCCGGGGGCCCTGTCTAGTCCAGATCGCATGGCGACTAGTCCGCGGCTCTGCGTGCGCCCTTCGCGGCCCTTCGTATTCACAACTTCCAGACTTCGAGCGTGATCTGCTGTGGTTGTTCGTTGCGTGATCTTCATTGCCGTATTTGTCATCGCCAGCAGGGGCTAACGGGCTAACGCAGTGGCGCTACAGGAGGACGAAAAACAACAGTCAATTAGTTCATACGAAAAAGTTATATTACTAGACGCTTACTATCTTGCTTGTCCAAGGACCCTTAAAATTACTGAGACGGCCCTGATTCTGATTCCCAACCCCACTGGATCAAATAGCAAGACATAGCTTGCCATTAGTTTACATTAAAAAACATAGCAATGAATCATTGTCTCCTTGATCTTGGGGTATTTAGCCATCCTTACTTCCTAGCACACTCCAAATCTGTTTGATTTTTAGCCCGCAACTGCCAAGGATCTTAGCATTACACTGATCAGCGCCGATAATAAAGTTTTGTATGATGCTCCAAGGGCATGTTCTCCGTTAAGCCGGAATATAAATTAATTGTGCAAGTCAGGGGCAATTTTCTCCCGAAAATCATCAGGGTCTTTCGTATTCAAACGGAGAGTTCAAGTGGCATCAGATTTGGCAACATAAGCTTTCAAATAAGATCAGAATGTTCGCCTGGAGGCTACCTCAGAGCAGCCTCCTACTGCGTCAAAATCTTGCAACGAGGGGTGTTGAACTAGATACAATTTTTTCTATTATGTAATCGCTGCAACAAAGGTTGAGGCCACCTATTTTTTTTAAGTGCAGCAAAATAAGAGGTTGCTCTGACAGAAGCTAAATATTGAGGATATACGCCAATTGCCTGTACAATGCAAATCTCGTATGGCATCGGTGGTCAATGAGAAGTAAGTTAATACATGGGAGAAAATGGTCTCTGAAGTTAACATTTGCAGCTCTAACATATATCACTTTTGAAGGTTTGTGAGAAGCTTTAGAATCTAAAAAAACCCACAATACATCATTTTAAGATTAGTCGGACCCCACCACCTAAAGAGCTCTACGTATGCCTCCTTCCATGGTAATGCAAGCCAACAAGATGGTCGGTGATTTGTTATTATTTGTAACAATGAAGGAGTTGTGTTGCAACCCAGGAAAAGCAAAAGTCTTTTGTTAGGAAAATATTGAATCTTTATCTCTTTGAATCTTGGAGTCCTCTATATTCCACCAATTTCCAAAGCAGCCAGCTGTGAAGTTGCAGAGGTCAAACTGGGCTCTTCTGAAAGCAGCTGCTTCTAAAAAATCACCCTCCAAAAGCAACCCCTTTGGTTGGGCTTTTGACTTTTAGAGCCAAAAGCCAAAGCCAAAGGCCAACCAAACAGGGCCTCAGTCCTCTATATATGCTAGCTGTGAAGTTGCGGGGTACTGGAAGGGCTGCTCAAACTCAACTGACATGAACCATATATATTATCTTGAAGATGGATGAAGCAAACCTTGAATGAAATCAACAAATTGGATGAAAATTAACCTGATGATGAATTTCAAATCAACAAATTGGCCCATGCGCACTAGTGGAGAATAGACCTTTCATCCGAGGCTAAAATAGACTCTATCCCGGCATTTTTGGGTGCTTGTTTAGTTAAATTAGAGATTTGATGATGTATGAATTTAACAAACGTGTAATCTTTGCTTACAATAGAATTTGTAATTAGGTTGCAGACTGTCTAGTTGCTTATGATGCATGTATGGAGGGTGTAGAGGTATGCATGTATGTATATTGATCATGCACTAGATTTTGTAACTCATCTGGCGACATGCCCAGAGCCCATGTTCGCCGAAAGCTATTTCCGAGATAAAAAGAAAACTATCAAATGAACTTTCGTGCCATTTGCATGCTTTCCCAACTATTTTGGTCTTCTTTCCTCCTCTCTTTCTTTATGAGCAAGCTCACTGATGGCCTCGTATTCTGAGCAAGATAGTTATAGAGATAAGAGATATATTCTCTTTTCTTTTCTATCTTCTCTCTTTCACGTAAAAAAAATGCTGACATGAATTACCATGCACTAGTTAAAGTGGCACTGCTGGAGACGCGCATGCGTGGGTGCAAGCCGAGCCCGCAACCACCCCACCACAATGGTACCCTACTAATAAATGTAGTTAAAACTAAAATCAATATTCATATTCATTCAATGATGTATCTTTTAATGGATTATTAAATGATGTGTTAGTTCGTTGTCAACTAGGCCCATTCGGGCCTATGTTGCTAGTACTACTTAGTAAGAAAAATTTCGGCCCATTCAGCACAACTTTTCCAATAACTTTAAAAATTGTTTTGTGTCAAAATCTTTCACATAACTTTACAGATAATCATAGATCAATTGATTGGGTTCGATTCCTTGTGGTGGAACTTGTCTACCCGGGTTTAAGTCCTCGACTTGACACCGGTGCTTGTATTTTCCTAGATTTAGGGCATGTTTGGCCTGGCTTCCTCCGGCTCCGGCTCTCTTCCTGTAGCGCCCTGTAGCACAAAGCTGGAGGAGCCAGGCAATGGCAGCTGCTCCAGAGATAAGGAGCCGGAGCCCTTTTGCCATTGCTACATAAACATACAGTGCCGCACAGTCCATCTAGAGCCGGAGCTGCCCGGGGTAGGAGCCCTACCAAAGACGTCCTTATTTCAGGATTTAACTGCGCCATGCTTTTAGGGGAGACGCATATGGTGACTTCTTAAATCTCAAGATTGCCGGCTCGGTCATTTGGAGGTGCTCATAGAGGTATGGTTTGCGTACGTGTGTTCATAGGGGTGAGTGTGCATACGTGTTGTAGGTGTCTACGTTGTACCGTGCAATTCTAAAAAAACTCTTGAAAACATAGGATGAAGCTGGAAACAACAGCTTAAAGGAGTTCCATTATCGACACAACGGTAGGAGGAATAGAGTAGTGCTTGGATTCGCCCTCGTCTATTTTTATTTTATTAACCAAGCATGTATGCGTCCTGTTCGTTTTGACTTATTTGGCTGATAAGCCATGGTTGAAAGTACCGTTAGCTGATTTGGTGTGAGAGAAAAATATTATTTATTGGCTGAAAAAGTACGGCTTATAAGCCAAACAAGCCCAAACGAACGGGGCGATATTTTCTCTTGCATATGTTTCATCTTCGTTACTTGATATATTTTCGTCTTAATCATGATTCAGATCTATTTTTTAAGTACGTGATCCTCTCTACTTTCTATCATAGCATACAACAAATTCGTTGTAGATGACACTTCAAAGATCCTAGATCAATATGGGACCCATTTGGTACAACTCCGTTTTTATGCTCTAGCTGCAGGCACCATAACAGCTTCGCACATGGGAGGACAGAAGCCATCCTCCTAGCAATCTGGTTTGTGTGGTTTCACCTGCTCTGGTGCCAGTGTGGGAGCCACACCAAACAAGTTCGTAGTGATAGGTGTGGTTCTTTTGCGTGTAAATGTAAGCAATGAATGACATATATATAATGGAGTGAGCATAGTTCAATCGATTAGATGGAACATAACTCAACTGGTATTTGTCTAGACATAGCCCGGTGAACTTTTTTGGTAAACACATATGTTACTGAAGTTATTAAAAATGCAATATTCAGAATTATCTATTCTTACAAAAATACTAGAGACGGCATTTTTTATGTGATAAACTTTACTAATTTTATGAACGTCGACTCAAGGTCAAAAACAATTTTTTTTCACATTCCGGATTGGTCCTCCAATAAAAACACTCCAAAGGATCTGTTTATGGTGACA